TTGATTTCCTTCTGTAACTCCATTCTACTGGGGTCCTTGTGGGATACCACCATGATCTGTTGCTTGAGATCATTTACCTCCTGTTTCAGACCCATGAGGTTGTGGGCCAGGAAGATGATGACCTTGGTGAGCTTTTTGTAGCCATAACTCTCGCTTGAGTCATGAGTCTGAGGTACTCTTCTCTCGGTGTCCAGTTGCTTTCGGCTCAGTAGGTGGTCGTCGGCCCTGGGTAGGGGGTGTTCCTCACAACGCCTGGCCAGCCCTCTTTGGTCTGCATTCTGGGCAGTTAGTCTGAGCATACGCAACATTTTGGCAAACTTGTGTTGATTATCACTCAGAACTTACTAATGGATCACAACAGGCTCAATCTCTGAGGAAGTGAAGTAGAGGAGGGAAAAGGAAGATGGAGAGCATTCCTATTCAGATTATGCTTATTACTTGGTGCTCGGGACTATAGTTATGCCCTAGTATTTGTCTAGATGACTTGTGTATCATGGGTCAGGGTCATATCATATCATATCATATCATATCAAGGTCATAAAATTAGAGAACATGTTGAAAATAAACAAATCAAAAATAGTGTCTCTGGTTCCTTTTGAGGCTCAGAGAGAACATAAAACCAACGTGGAACAAAAGGGGGCATAACATGTGAATGGATTTAAAATTAGCTGACTGCTATTATTAAAACAGGGTAATCAATCTGGTATTAGGAACAATTAGTAGTACTAGTGATTAACTGTAAGATTTGTGTTGGCCAACACACCATGGTAGGTCACAGCTGCTGCGTGTTCAACTCCCATGCCTAGACCACACCATGTGTGTGCCCCGCCCTTCGTAGCGTGTTATTCACTGTACTATTAAAAACCCCCAATAACTTAATAATTCTTCTCTCGATAAACAGTTAAAATGTAATAAAATTTACATTTAATTAACTAGTAACTGAGCAATGGCATTCAGGAAGGATACATCTAAGTTTGTTACATTAGCTTAGAAGAATTGAAGATGGAGAAACAGAGAATAGAGAAAGTGAAAAATCAGAAACCAGTGATTAGGTTAAATTCAAATTACTTCACACTGCATACACACATGCTGTAAATAAAAGCTTCAAGTAAAGGGTGCTAACCCCTAATTGTTAAAGCTATTTGGTAGCTTAGCCTAAGATTAACTATGCTAATACAACATGGCATCACCAGGTGACGTGTGTGCTATGTGGAGTTAGCACTTCCTGTGACAAGTCATTGTCATGGTAACCAATGCATGCCAGTGCAATTCAAGCAGCTTTAGTGTCTGCCTATTTCAAAGAAGTTGCCCACAGTTTTAAAACGTGGTGCTTGGTTGCTAGGCTTGTATACATACAGTCAAGGTGTAGATGAATTGCCACGATCTAATTATAATCTATAAGGCCTTTATGCTGTAGAAAGAGGAGAGAAGAACAACAAGAACCTGGGCGGAACTGTGGGTGAGCCTTTTAAGGTCTGAGAAGATTCGTGCCTCTCAGGATGGGCTTGTCCAATGATAAAGGCTGAAATTCCAAGCGGGAGGTTGGAAATACTGGGGAGATTTATGACCCTTTGTGTGAGAGCATGGTAATTTGCATATGGAACTCAAATCAAAATTACTAAAGATTCTTAGAACACTAATATATTGCCTATGGGTGTTAGATGCATTTCGGGGGAAGGGTACATAGACCCTCGTAATTGTCCCTTTGGTTAGGTGAGGGGGCGTTAGATATTATTTGTTAAATATAACAAAAAGTTGAGTGTCTGATTGGTCCAAATGCTACGTTTATATATTATAAAACGATTATTTGTCTGCTAAATTACTATTGTAACTTTACAATAGATAATGTCCTTTAGGCTAATATACAGTATTTTGAGTGATGACTATTTAACAATGGACTGCTACTGCTTAAGCACAAAGACAAAACTACAATAGCATATTTACAGATGAATCTGACCTGCACTTGAAATCCTGAACAGTAGTTTTGCTTCTCTGCTCCACCTGTGCGCTTCCACAGTCCACTCCATTCTCATTTTACATTTACTAGTTAAATGACATTTAAGCGGTCATTTAAGGAGCATTGTTTACTCTGATCGAAACAGTGTGGCGGAGCGCGCGCGAGCCGAAGCATTGCCAGTCACATCTAACCGATTCATGATTTATTAGAGATTTATTATCGAATGGTGAATTCGGAAATAATCGCTTTAATACATTCGGCAGGCAATTATGTAGTAATAGTAATAATATATGTTTATATATATAAACCTGCAAAGATGTCAACAATTCTGTGTTTTTCTGTCAATATGGGGTGCTGTGTGTACATTAATGGGGAAAAAAAATTAACTTAAATGATTTTAGCAAATGGCTGCAATATAACAAAGAGTGAAAAATTTAAGGGGGTCTGAATACTTTCCGTACCCACTGTATATAAATAAAAGCAGCGGGCCAAATCGGCTGCTGATGGCCAGTCCGCGCCTGATTTCCACACGCAGAATGTGCAGAATTCATATTTTGTCTTTTTGCGGCTTAATATTCACAGACACTATAGTCCATGTCGCGTTTTGATTCAAGTGTACTGACCTACTTTTGATTTATTCATCCAAAATGTGACATATTCCTTGACATTCCGGGTAATAGGAGTTCCGTTTTTATGACTGGATTGTGGATTCTACAAACCACTCCGTGTTTTCAGCATCGCAACCGTATGTCTCATATTTAGTAGTCAGTACTAAATATGAGTGGTCAGTGCAATTTGGCAAAGAAATCAATTAAATATGAATGAGGACGCGTGTAAATATTCAAATGTAACCCCCTTTTGTAATCGTTAACATTTTCATAAGTAACTGTAATTTAATTACATATTTTTTCTTAGTAACTGTAGTAAATCAGCTCAAAGGGGAAATAAATAATAAATATTTAGATTAGATCTTAGAATTAACTGTAGCAGAATCAATATTACAATTGTTTGATCTGTCCGTCCACCGAGCAGACAATATAATCATTTATCAATTCAAGGAAAGATTATTTCCCTGGCCAAGGAAAGTAGCTTTCCTTCTTTATGCAGTGCTAGCAGTAATTTAGCATGTAGCAAGGGACCAAACATTCAGTGACTTCGAATCGTGAGCAACGCACAGAGACAATTGGTTGTGAATATAAGGGATTTAATAAATGAAACTATATCTAACATATAACTAAACTAAGCACATCACATATATACAGAATGAAGGAAAGTAAGGGAGAGAGAAAAGTAAAAGAATGGCAGTATTTCACATCAATTAACGCTGGAAGTTTTCTTTGTCTTCTTCTTCTTCTAAATCAAACTCCAGAGGTGAGTCTTGAGAAGTCTTAGTGTCGTCTCAAAAGAAAAGGTTTTTTGAGCCAAGATCATTTCACGCTAATGACTTTTGAGGGTTTCTCTATTCACACCCACCTTTGGGTGGAATAGATTATGCTATACAGAGAGCATGAAATGAAAACAATAATGAACACAATAATCACAGTACACATATACCTTTGCAGTGCAGTATGGTATGAAATAGTGCAAACAGAATGTCAGGGTGCAGAATAATAGTGAGTCCAGTCAGTGTTATTGATAGAGTGCAGTGCATATGAGGTTGCTGGGGTGTGCTGTGTGGTGTTACTGGTAGGAGTTCAGTTCAGTCTGATTGCCTGTGGAAAGAACTTGTCTTGCAGTCTGCTGGTGAAGGTTTTGCGATAACATCTGCCTGATGGTAACGGTGAGAGCAATCCATAGCTCGGTTGGCTGGAGTCTCTGACAGTCCTCCTCACACACCACCTGGTTTAGATGTCGTGGAGGAACAAAACATGTATTTAGGGTGTGGTAAGTCAATAAACAATATATAATATTTTTATTTATAATTGTTGCACTGGCGAATGCAGTCTTCACAGCAGATACCTGATGGGTTCAGGCAGCAGTGCAGCACTTGGTGGCCACTGAATTGATATCTTCATCAACTAGCTTAATCTTCCTTCAAACAAACAGACAAAACAATAAGTCAACAATAACTCCAGATAAATAGTGTTGGTGAATACAGATGTAGGTGTCAGTACTCACCATATTCAGTCATTTCCTGCTCAAATCCCAGAGATGATGCACAGCTGATTTGCTCATTCTATGAGCTATAAAAAGATGTATATGTGAAAAATAATAACTGATGACTTGAAGACTCTGTAGGATCTCTGTCTCGAACAGACCCAAATAAACTATGGATTCACCACGTGAATTATTGAACAGACATATTCCAGAAGAATCTAAAGATCTCCCCCCTCCAAGCCATCATGAGGTCTAAACTAATCACCCCATCACATGATGCCAATATTCTGGGTCGATTTCCTGTCAACGCCTTGGAATCTTCCGATTCCTCAGAAGAATCGGAAGAGTGATGAAAAACTAATCCAATCAGGAAACAACAGAGATCTTTTGTATCAAGGACTAAAGAGTTATTTCACAACATATAGTTGAGAGATACTGATTGCTTATGCATGGAACCATAGGATAGGCACAGGAAATGGCTAATTTAATCACACCCTTCTGGTCTGCACGCTAACACAGGATCTATACAGCGTGACATCCCATGACTTATATCTGCTTCCTGTTCTTTGGCACATTTTCAACTCACTATTTCTTTCCAACAAAGAAACAGAAACTTACACAGACAATTTCAAAAGACAATCATTTAAAGTATTGCCACTAGGGCAACTTTATCCACGAATAATGTGTTTTGTGCCGTTCTATGCTCGATGTGTTTTATGTAATCGATGGAGTGTAATCAATGTTTTATAACCCTTTTTAGTAGATAAGGTTATTAACGTGTATGCAAGATGTCTGATATTTGAGCTTGAATGAAAGCTTATTTTATGTGCAAGACAAAAAACGGTGGGAATGAAATGTTGATTTTCGGTATCATACTCATGATTAAGAAACTTTATAGAAGTATTAACAAAATCTGGCAAGGATGTTCCCCACGTGATAAATTGAAGCATCATGTTAATTTATGCACAAAGAGAAACCTTGCAGGGCGTGGGTAAGCCCTGCAGCCAATATCTGATTGGAACAATCACTTCTGGGATGGACCAAATCGGCTCGCTTAAAACCAAATGTCACGAACAGATCCGTGCTCTTTCGCCTTTGTCTTGACCACGTTCAAACTTGCGCTCACACGCTGCACCATCAAGCGATTGGGCCATTCAGAACTCCAAATACTTTGTTGAAGCTTCGTGACTCTGCAGAACAAAGTCTTGCAAACTCAGACTCTCTCAGACGAACATCGAGGCTCCTCCGTAACCAAGCATCGCCCACTCACCACGAGGGCTTTTCCCAAAAGACGTCATCAAGGAAGATTGCCAGCCAATCAGCAACGGGACTCCCTCAGGCAGAAAAGGAAACCCCGCTTTCCAGCGCAAATGCAAGTAACAAACAAAATCTTCTATCTGCTGAAACCGGTGCTGAATTGGTCTTAAGCAGTAAAGATGAGACAAATCTCTGCTTTTGTGATTTTCTTGGTGCAATCTAAGAACTAGTAACAAGTACTATAATTGTGGGACTTCCTCAGAACTCTGTTAACTCTCATCTTCTGAACTGTATGTGTGTGTGTGTGTACATGTGTTTGTGTGCTTTTAGTAATTTAGTTAATCTGTCCTTAGAGTAGCTCAATAAAACCTCTTGTTTCATTATAAGAATCATTGTCTTGTGTTGTGTATTTTAAAGTTAAAACTTTGCCCAGATCTTGTTACCTAGCTCGTAGCTTATAAATTATCACTAGCATGTATTAACCTGTGGCCAAAGGATAATACAAATATCCAAATTATTAAGATATACTGATGTTAACGTCTCGCTGGACAAACAGTTGATATGGTGTAAACTATCAAATTTGGAATCAGTTCTATTCAGGTTGATTTTTAATCTTCAGATTCTAACTCCCTCCGAAAACCTGAGCTAAAATTCCTTACATAATGGTGGAGTATCGAAAGTGGGCAAATTTGGCTTAAAATTCATAAAACCAAGTCATATTGTGAGTTGGATCTTTTCTATTTTATCCAGAGATTATATTAGAGACAGAGAAACAGAGTTTGTTGTGTTACTGTATTTTATTGTGTCATGCCAGCGTGTTGAATGAATGTTAGTGAAACTCGAGTTGTTGTTTAAAGAAGTGAACTGCAGTAAAACATTTAAATTTTGTCTGTCGAGACAAGATCAAGTCGCTCTAAAAGTGCACGAGGAGAGAAGCAAGCGTGTTTCTTGTTCTTTCTCTTATTAGGCCTTGTTTGTAGCTAGATTAATTCACATTGGGTGTTCCAATGTTGAAATAACTAGGCTATCTCCCCTGGTACTTAGCTTAGAGTAGCTAACTAACGCTTTTTGCCATTTAATTCACTACAGTGTAGAACGTGGCGCTCAGAGAGTGTCCGGACGTTATTTTATGGGAGAATTGTGAAATCTTGATCAAGTAGAATTGTGGTTAAATCCACGTGTGTTTTTGTCTGTCTGCTTTTGCGTTGAAGCCGATGCAAAGCTAGTAGCATTGAAGGCTAGCGGTTAGCACATAGCATTTTGTGGTCTTAAATGCAGAGTGTTTTGCAGTGTTTGAAACGTTGAAGTGACTTGACCAGTTGCATCTTAACTTTATTTTTCACCTCATTGTTCGCTCTGTTATACTTTTCATCATATCTCTCTTCTCCTCTCCTCCCACTGAAAAGAACGTTGACAAACACAAACTTAATAAACCTTGCTGTACACGATTGTAAACAATCTTCAGAGTGGTTAGCATGATCATAGTTGGTTTTTAATCACGTTTATTTAAGGTTCTCCCTTCGGCTGGTTTACTGTATCAGTTTAAACGCTGTTGGTTTTTATTAGCAATTAATCACGGTTCTCGTCCTCATTGCTTAATGGTATTTTCTGATTAATTCAATTGTAACTGCTCTTATCAATTTTAATGACATCCGTAAATATTACTAGTTTTCTATCATTACTGATTTGAAATTTTAGTTTCATTTCATAATTAATTACAGTTTCTGCATCCATATTGCAATAATACTTACTGATGCATTTAATTGATATTGTTGATATCTCTTATAATTTTAATGACTACATCATTGGTTTTTCATCATTAAATATCATTACTGATTTAAAATTTTAATTTCATTTATAGTTTATAAGGGTTTGGACTTCCACACTTCAATGATACAGTCGATTAATTTAATTAGGGGCCAAGCACCGAAGGTGCAGTGGCACCAATTGTATCCGTTAGCGTCATTTTTCTTCACCCGCCGCAAGTCTATGGCAGCCCATAGAACCGCTTGCGGGAATGTTGTGTAATTTGGCACACTGATAGAGGACAGCCTCAACATTAACCACAGCAACTTTGGAGTCTCTAACTCCAACTCTCTAGCGCCACCACTTGTCCAAAGTTGCAATTTCTTTATGCTAATAACTTTTGAACCATAAGGCACAAAATGAAAATTCTTTTTTCCTCGGAATCCTTGGCTCATGCCGAGTCGAATGAACACTGTACTTAAAAAATCGCAGGGTTTAGTTTTTTCGCTATTTTTAATTATTCGTAAAACCTACTTTTTCGAACTCGTCCTAGACGGTTTGTCTGATTCTCACCAAAATTGGCTCAGATCATCTTCAGACCATGCTGGCAAAAAGTTATGGAATTCAAGTTGATTCGTCCCACCCTTCTCGAATAACGCACGAAGGAATTCTACGAAAAGCACGTAAAAATGGATGTGAGGCTATATCTCCACAAAGGTTTGTCGTATTGAGACCAAACTTGCTGTGTGTTATAATAAACATGACCTGAGACTACCTGCAGTGTTTCGGCACAGTGCCCCCTAGTGGTCAGGAGATATGAAAAATCCATGCCATGCTTAGCTCCTCATTTTGCCTCTGGAGTGCTTGGTCCCGCGATTGCTGCTTGCAGCTATATTTATAATTGCTCTTATCAATTTTAATGATGACATCATTAAATTTTAATCTTTAATTTCATTTGAAATTAAGTTTTTGTTTCTACTTGTTAGGCCTGCTTTTCTCTCTCCTTCTTCTTCTCTCTCTCTCAGCTGTCTTCTTCTGATTTGACTACTGCTGCTGTTTTGGGATTGTACCTCTGAGAATCATAAAAGCAGATAACTTTAGAAATATTTAACAAAAATTTGTGAAACTTTTCGCACTTTTTAGTTCAAAATTGTCTGAATCTCACCCTACCTTCCCTTCTCATCCTGGGATCCTACCAGCTAAAGCTAAAGCAGGTCAACAAGAGGACTGACAGACGTCCGCCAAATCTTGAACATGCGTCTAGAAATGCTCTAATTGGTGTATGGTGTCAATCTTACCAGCTAAGAAACCAATACTGTCATTGTTATTGTTTTTCTTTCATCCCGGAGGAAATTTTTTAATAACAATCACAGTCCTGGTAGTTAGAAATCCCCATTTCCAAACACCTGTTTAGAAGAAAATTTAATTGTACTCATTCTGCTACCAGAAAAGGGTATTTTGTTTTGTCTTTCACTCTCATCTTACCATTAGCTCTAATCTTTCTTTACAAAAAAAAAACTTTCTCTTATAGGAAAAGTGCAAGCAGCCAATTATTATCCTGTTCCTTGCTCTGTTTGTTATTCTTCTTTTCTCCCTCTGTTCTCTAGCTGTGCTTACTAATTTTCCCCGCAGATACTACAAATTAGAAGCACGCCCACCAGAGGATAACAGTCGCAGAGAACCACACTCAGCATCAGCCCACACTCAACACTGCACATTTACACCTCTGTTGTGCCTTGTTTGTTTGTTTTGTTTAGTTTCATTTTTTTTTCCTCTTCAAGGTCTGTGTCAGTCTCGGTTCTAGATCTCCCTCACCTCTCATCGGTACCGACTCGAACTATGCCCATCTAATCTTCACATGCCATCTAGCTGGATGGAAACAGAATGGATTTAAAACAGCTAACAACAAGCCTGTCAAACATCAGGAACTCTTCCAAGCATGCAATGCCATTGTCACTGAACATGACATGATTGTTTATTGGAAAAAGGTCCGAGGCCACTCACGTCAACCAGGACAAGACAAAGATCTCAATGACCAAACTGATGCCCTCGCCAAACCAGGTGCATTACACGGCCCAGCACGCCACTGGCACGCAAACCCCCGCCTCCTCCCACGTCAAACTCTCACCTCAATTCGCTGCTGATGATCTCCTCACCCTCCAAGCTTCGGATCTGACACTGCAAACTATTGCAGCTCACCTTTCAGATCCATTAACTCATCCCATTTCCACCTCCAACCTAGCCACTTCCTACGATCTCCGCACGCTCAACTCTATCAAGCACATGCTGCATCTCAAAGACGGCGTTCTCACATATGCCCCTGAGCCCCTCACTGCACCAAAGCTCGTAGTCCCTCATGGCCAAAGGGGGATGATGCTGACATACGCCCACGATTCACCATGCGCTGGACACCATGGTCCCAAGGCCACCTACGAAACGCTCAAACAAGTAGTATACTGGCCTAGCATGCAGCAAGATGTGGCGGAGTACATAAAAGGATGCCTGGTGTGTTGCCAGTTCAAACCGGCAAATCCAAACCACCGAGCACCACTGCAACGGAAATGAATGACCTTCCCATGGTTGGACCTCCAAATAGACTGGGTAGGACCCCTGCCACGGTCAACACGGGTTAACAAATACTTCCTCACCATGGTTTGCAAATTCACAAAGTGGGTAGAGTGGCTGCCAATGATACAGCAGAAACGACAGCCTGCCTTTTGATGAACCACATCTTCTCAAGGTTCGGACTGCC